AAGACGATCGGCTAAAATTTGATTAGCTGAATCGGACGGATGAAATGCATCCCAGAAGACAAAGTCTTTACGGCTTTGACACATCTTTGAGTTGGGAAGACAAAGCCCTCCGACGCTTGTGTCCACGTTGCAACAAGACGTGTTCGCTATCTTAAAACCTGCGTTTTATTGTAAAATTGCGTTTGAGTTATCGAACAAAACGCAAATGATGATGACACGGTTAAATATTATTCGGATAATTGATTTAAGATATTTGAACTAACCAATATAGACAACTCTCTTAATGGTGAAAATGGTTAGTTTTTGTGTTTACCGTAGTGAGTGGGATTGTTGATGAGATCAAGAACGGCGGGATAAGTGTCGGCGAAGGCAAATTTAGCTCCGGGAAGATGTTTGTTGAGATCTTCTAGAAGCTTCTTTGTTCTTGAATTAAATTCCATTACCCATTCGTTGACTCGCTTAAGGCACATGCCTGTCTTCGACTTTACTCTCTGTGATGGGATACAGCCCAATGGGCCTAGCCCATGAAATATTACCTTCCTTGCTCCTAATTTGTATAACGTCTGCTTTCCACCAAACAAGCACGATAGTTTAAATAAAACTAGTATTATAGCAGGGGCAAAATATTTGTAAAACACATTATAATTTGTTTTTTCTTAGAAAATTAAGTTTGTACATGTATGTATGTATTTTAAAGAATAATGTAAATCAGTTTATTTGTATTTTTTTAAAAGCATAAAATCATTATATTCGTGAAAGATAAAACAAATTTTTGATAATAAAAACTTTAATTTTTCCGCCAGTGAAAAATTAAAAAATAGAATCAAATGTTTTTAATTGTGAAAAATGAGAATATGTTAAATATTCACCTGTATGACTTTCAAATTTTCATTAGCTTTAAAACATCCAGTTTACAAATTGAATCAAACAAACAAAACGCATAGAGATATTGTTTCAGTTATATACTTGAAATACCAAAGATGATATGAATTAGCAACTAAAATTAGATTTGATTTGTGAAAACCAAACCCGAAATTGTGTCATACAGATTGAAAACACGTTTATTACCTGATGAAACTACAATTTTTATATTATAAAAAAGGATAAGTGACTGGAAAATTTGGAACGTGAACGTCTTCAATTTTAGAAGACTTTGTCCACTAATCCTCTGAGA